CACAAGCTGTTCTTGAGTAGTCTGGAAACATAACAATAGATACTGCTGATTTCCAGGTTCCTTCTTTGATTCAGAAATTCAACTTCAGATCATTAAAATATTATTCTAATGACAAGATTGAAAAACTGAAATATGAATTAGTGCCTACAAGATACTAGTCAAGATGCAAAGCAGTTTCATAAAAGTTATCTAATTTCTTTTCACACCTGCCAGATGAAATAACACTCCCATAATTTTATAGTTAGCGTGAGACTCAGAAAGGTAAAAAGAATTTGCCCTAAAGCATAGAACATGTATGTAAATGGAGTTGGGATTGGAGCCCAGGCATTGAAGCAAAAGAAATAGCTTAGTCGAATTTTTGAGATGCCAAAATGTTCAGTTTTATTTAGTTTAACTCCTTTATCCTATATGTAGGTAAATCAAGGCTCAGAATTGCCCAAAGACAAAAGCTAGTTGGCAAAACAAGAGATAGAATGTAGTTCAGTGGTTCATTCATTACTCCCTGGCTGCAGGGACGCTTCATAATCTTAGCTTTACTCTTCAATTACTGACTTCCCTTCTAAGTCTTTTGGGCTTGGTCCTCTTCTCTTCTTTCTCTGCACTTCCTCCATGGTGGGCTTATCCAGTGTTATGACTTCTAATGCTAGCTGACAATTCCCAAATTCATTTTTTTGGTCCATACATGACTCATGAGTTGCAGACTCTTGGATCCAACTTACTTCCTACCTGAGATCTCCACTCAGATGTCTAATAAATATCTCAAATTCAGCCTGTCTAAAACTGACAGATTTTTGTTTTCCTTAGCAGATCTGTTCCTCCCACCATCTTTCCCATTTCAGTTGATGGCAACACCATCCTTTCAGTTACTCAGGCCAAACACCCTCGAGTCCTTACCCATGTTTGATGCACAGAAATACCAGCTTGGCTCTATCTTTAGAAAATGCACAGAATTCAACCACTTCCTACCACCTCCACTGACACTGCTCTCTTCTTCTGAGTCACTAGAGTAGTTCTTTAAAAACATTAAATCAGATCCTTTACTCCTTTCAGAACCTTGCAGTGAGTGATTCCCCATTTTCTTCAGAGTAAAAAATTAAAAACTTCACAGTGCAAGGTTTTGTCAGGAACAGTAGGTTGACAGCATCTTTGCAGGGTCACTCTTGTTGCTAAGTTAGTTATTATCTTTCTCAGTGGAATATAAACACTGTGGAGGCAGTCATCTTCGTCTTCTTTGGTTTACTGCCACATCCCAAGCCCATCAGTGCCCAGCACATAGATGGTACTTAGTCAGTGGTTGTTGAATTTAAATTCATGCATTTATTCAATATTTATTAAGCTCATAGTATATGGCAGACCACTACTAGACACAGCAGGTCAGTTGTGGTCTCTGCCTTCACGAAGCTTTTAGAGTAGATGCCCACTCTCAGGGATACTGACTCATTGGGCCTTCTGTGTATTCCAAACACCTGAATTCTTTAAATTATTACAAGTGATTTTGATACACAGCACATGTGGAAAGGTTGGTGCGTGTGTGTCTGTACCTCACTGTAGAAACAGATTCATCCTCAAGAATATATTGTTAAGAAACAGAAGTAACTTGGTCTCTAAAGCTTGAAAAAGAATTCTAAACAAGAAATATTAGGGGGAAAAAATGCCCAGTAAACTCTCCAGGGAGTATATATTGCACGGACACCTCTTTCATGTTAAATGATGCCGGTTTCCAGTAACCTTATCACTAAGATCTACTAGTTTAATACAGTTAAACTGCCTCTTTTCCATAGCTGGCTCTTCACAGCTGCTTTCACCTTATTTGCAGAAAATGGACTGCAGACAGATGTAAGAGTCAGGAGGATTAAGTTATTTTCCCAGTAATGAAACTGACCGAGCTGGTAGTCTCACTGAAGCTCAGGCTGTCTTTCAAATGAAGGTTTAGAACAAATTAAGCTACAGTGATCTACAACATTCTGGAATTCTGATTTTACTTTCTGCATTCTACAGCAGTTGTAACTGATAATAGTGATAGAAATAATACAATATCAAAGCTTGATACAGTTTTGAAGGAAAAGTAATCATTTTTTCCATTAGAGAAGTCTTTGGTGTTTCCAGATTAAAAACTACAAATAAAAGTCGTGCATTTAACACATAACTTCTTTTAAGCTATTTTCTGGTTTTTGCTAATTTCAGTTGATGAATCAGCGTGGCTCTTTGGAAATTTCAATCAACAAAGAAACTACATTTCTGATTACATTTCAGAGCACTCACCAAAATAACTTTAACAATAATCCTCATTATCTCTCCTCGAGTGTACCGTAAGGATAAGACAGACTCCCATCACCAACATGCCTTACTATGAGGGCGTGGGTTTCCTGTCAATATCTCTGGGGAAAGGAGGGTGTGACATGCAGGTGAGGAGGACATGTCTAGGATTTGAAAAGGTTCCCCAGTGACTCTGATATCTACTGTCACAACCCTCTACCACCACTCCTCAGTTAAGAATGGCTGTTCTGAGGACTGAACAGATAAACACACTCATTAACTAACTCAAGACTACCACTTTATCTGCATTCCAAAATATTCAGGTATATATATTCTTCATCCATGGCACTGCATATCACCTGAGTTCAGAAGATAACTTACATGTGGTACCTCACTGTCCACCATTCTGAACATCATGAAGGGGAGAATAACTGACACATTGCATTCAGTGGCTCATGCAGACTCTGTTGTAATTGAAGATAAGTCTGCTTCAAATAAATTATTTGTTTGGAATCGAAACAAAGTTAAGATAAAACTGCTGTGTTAAATAATCATGTTATTTTTCAAGTAGACAGTGTGCCTTTGAATATTGTCTAGTTTTCACTCCAACTAGGGTAAATGAGGAAATGTGCAGCAAATATTTTTAAAATGAAAATTTCAGCCTTTCATAAGGTTCCTGACAACACCCTGGAGTTAAGGTATATGTTATGGGGTTGGAGCACCTGGTTTGGAATTATAGCTCTACCATTTATTAGCTCTGTAATCTCAGACAAATGACTTAATCTCTCTATAAAATGGGGGTTATAACCATACTTATCTCATTGTTTTGTTTTGGATTTTATGAGTCAGTGCTTACAAACTATTTAGCACAATGCCTAACTTCTAATAAGCCATCATGTGTCAAAAGCAAAAACTAGAGAGGGTGGTAATTCAGATGTATTTTTTTTAGAACACAGAACCTCTTACAATCCGTAATAATATAGGTTTTGCAAAAGTGAGATTTTTGGTTGCTAATTTATCTGAGTTAACCCCCAAACTTGGTCACTCATTAGCTATTTAACCTTCAAATAGTCTTTGGTGCTTGAAACAACTACTAGTTTTCCTCTGGTGTGATGGTGATTTTCGTTTATGATTTACACTAAAATTGTTTTTTGACTTTTAAAAATCATAATATAAACTACAGTTCTTTATGTTTGAAAACAGTGTAATGAAGAGCAAAATTCTTGAGGCTAGAAATTGTCACACTAGATTTCTAATTGCAGCTCCGTCACTTTATAGTGTAATGAGTGGGTAAGATATACAATGTATACAATGTCTCTGAACCCTAGTTTCTCCATCTTTCAGAACAGAATTAATACCATATTCACCAAGTATGTCATATCCAACTAGGATTAAGTTCCATGAAATCAGAGTCTTTGTTTTTGCTGACTGATGTATGTCCAGTGCCTAGAACTGTGCCTGGTACATAGTAGGTACTCAATAAGTAACTGTCAAATGGAGGAACTACATAATTTGAAATGATTTAGTAAATTCTGGGAATAGAAACACAAAAATGACACAGTACCTTCCCTCCAGAAGCTCACAGTCAGGGTGAGACAGACATGCACAAATACTACAGCATCATTAAATGAACGAATGCATTGTGGAGATCCCCTGAGGTTAGGTGACAGTGCGTGATGCAGGTTATAAGGTGATGATGGCACATGTAGAGAACCAAAGAAAGAATGCAAGGAGTTCAGAAATGGATCTGTTGACCCTTTAAGGGATTGCTTCAGAGATCTGTGGTTAGTTTGAAGTTGAGGCCATGATAATGCAGAGAATATTCTGTTCAGTGAAGGTGGAAACATGAAATGGGGCCGAGATGCAGCTATTCCTTCTAATACCATCCCTCAGTAATACTCATTCCAATTTTTCAGTACCCGTATTAATAAAAGGTGAGAACTAGGAGTTAGGTTGGAGCAGAGAGTTAGAGAAGAATGTGTTTAAACAAACAGAAAGCAAGCCTAGGTCTCCTGTGTTTGGCACTTTATTTTATTGATGGTCTAATACATAACATCTTCAGTTATTTTGGGTTTTTTGTTTGTTTTTAAGGCTGGGGGTCAGTCAACTAATTGTAAAGTCTTCACAATTTAGAAGACGGAGAATACTTTTAAACCAATCTAAATTATTTTTAAACTATTGCATAATAGCAAAATTATGCTTAAAAGTCACCCACTAGTAAAAGTGGTTTCCTGTTCTATAAAAGGCAGCATGGGTTTTTATAATCATTTTTAGACTTCCTTTTTGATCGTCTCTTTCAAAAGTGTACATACTGACATTTTCATATGCTGCTTTTTCTACTTAAATTACAAGTTTAAACGTGTATGTCTCTAAGACAAAGGTTTATATTGTGGGATTTAAGGGGTCTCTCTTGAAGGTGGGTAAACCTTTTGACGTTTCTAGAAGAGCTGGAAAAGTCTGTACTTATGCACATTTTTCTGGAGAAGGATCCATTTCTTAAAGAGGGTTCATGACCAAAACAAGGCCCTAAAAGAACAGTTTTAGCTCATTCAACCAAATAATTCTCCTTTTAAAGGCTACTGTCAAGACTGAAGAATGTAGTTAAAAGTAGTTGAAGCTCATCGTTACATATTTCTGTTTATATAATGATCTGCAACCTCAAAAAAAAAAAAAAAAAACCCTTCTGAAATCAAAACAGAAACCTGAGTGTTGGAACATGTGTTACACCACGGTCTGTCCTGCAGGTCCGATTCCCATCGCACTTCAGTTCGGATCTCAAGGACCTTCTAAGGAACCTGCTGCAGGTGGACTTGACGAAGCGGTTCGGAAACCTGAAGAACGGCGTGAGCGACATAAAAACTCACAAGTGGTTTGCCACAACAGACTGGATCGCTATTTACCAGAGGAAGGTGAGCCTTTTCTTTCTTCAATTTAAAAGTTCCTGTCTACATTATATGTAACAGAAGTGTCTTCAACTGAGCACGTGGTTTTAATTTTTTACCTTTTGAATTAATCTTATGCAGGACTTAAAGAAATTTTATAGCCCACAACTTAAAACTGAGTTTTCTCCTTGATAGAAGAGAAAGCGCATATTCAGTCTTGACCATCAATTTCATATGTTTCCCTTATTAAATTTTTCCTACCCGTGCCTCTTTCTCTTCACGATACCATGGTAATTATATATTAGGCAATGTTCTAAGGGTTTGTGCATCAGAACTGACATGAGACCATATTAGTAGGATGACATGTAAATAAATACATTCTCCTACGAGAAATGGCACACAGCCAGATTTAATAACATTTAATTGCTGGATGCATCAGATATTTTTCAGTCATTATTGCCTCACCTTTGTAATAAATTGAGACATTTAAGAAAAGATTTTGCTGTGCTGAACAACCTTTCTCTCTCCTTTTGCTTCTTAAATGCTCAGTTAAAGATGATTTTTATGAATAAAGTGTTTTCATATTGAATATATTAATTTTTCTTTTTTTCATAAAACCAAAACTTCTGTTTCAGAAATTTGCCACATTTAATAAAGCTGTGCTGCCACACGAGTGAATTTCCTTAGAGAAGAAATGTAAATGCTCTAATTATTATTAATACAATTTTTCTAATTTATATTTTTATAAAGATTTTTTAAAACATTAAAAGAATTTTAAAATGCAGCAAATCGAAAATATAGCAAGACCAAAACCCCTCTTTGAGAGGCAAAGAGGGGTTCAGAAACTCTCTAACCATTAAATTCATCCAACATAGCCGTTAGCGTCATTATCTCAACTGGATATGTTATGTAGTCAAGAATAAGGTCCAAAGCAGTTTAAAATAGATTTTAAACCTAATAAATAAACATTTCATATTTCTTTCCAGATTTCCTAGCACCAATGTAGTACTTTATAATTAACAAAAGCAACTCTGTAACTTCTCATTTTAATCTTTGAAGCAATCCTCTGGGATCAGTGGTATCATTTTCCTCAAGAAAATTGGTTCAGAAAGGTTAACTACTTTAAACATAATCACACAGCTGCAAAATAACACCTATATTAGATTCCAGATTCTTCAGATTCCCAATTCCAGGACCACATTACCTCTTTAAAGGCCTTTGAACATGTGTAATTAAATAAAGCCCCCAAGCACAGAACAATACATTGTTTCATAAGCTAGTCGTGGATTTTGCACACTATCTGCTTAACTTTCATGCTTTGAGCATTTTTGGAGCAGGAAGACTGCCTCAGAGGGCAGCAGAGAGAGCATGAACTCTGGGGTTAGGCCGACACTGGGCTGAATCCCAGATCAGCCGGACATTAGCCCTGAGATCTCAAGCCAATTACTTCTTATCCTTAAAATTTGGGTTAAGGTAGAGAATGCGAAAGGCGGAGTAGCTTGGAGGGAAAGATTAAATAGACTGGTCCAGGCTCTATTCTTCTTTCTGGTTGAGGTATGCTCCATAGAGTTATAATCAGGTAATCATTTGTTAAGTAAATAGACTTGAAATTGTCGTAATCCCATCACCCAGACAGCACTTCTGTTAACATCTGGCGTATTCATTCTTTCTTTCTGTGCTCGTTATCACTACAGTCCGTTCCCATGACTTCAGTAGCCACCTAACATCTACTTCCCTCCAACCTGCACTTTCCCCGCAGCTTCAGACCGTTACATCACATTTACTACCTACTGCAAGATTCTGTTTGGGTGACTTACTTAATCTACATTTTCTTTCAGTGCTTTTTGATCTAAATTTTGTTACTGTTGTTTAATAATTACCCGATTATCCTCTCAGCATTTGTTGAATAATTATCTGTCCTCTTATTTGAAACTCCACCTTTGCTAATACAAATTACTGTATACTTCAGTCTGTTTCTGAACTTCATTTTTTATGAGTTCTTTTTGTCTGTTCATGTATGCACACTATACCATTTTATGCAGCTTTATATGTTTTTCAGTTTTCAAAATACATATTTAATATGTGGAATTCTCATGTTTGTGAAAAATACATAATTCAGTTTTTTCCAGTTTTTATTGTAGTAAAGTACACATAACGTAAAATTTAATATCTTAATCATATGTAAGTGTACAGTTCAGTGGCATTAAGTACATTCATGTTATTGTACTACCATTTATCTCCAGAACTTTTTCTCATCTTGCAAAACTGAAACTCTGTACCCACTAAACAATAACTCCTCTGTTTTATTGGTCTTAATATGTATGTTGTATTTGGGGATCTTAATTGGGATTACAGTACTCTAATTAGAAGGGAACCACACTCTTGAGAATTCTTTATAATGAACATGTTATATTTCTACAAATATTCGAGTATTTTCTGTCATTCCGTAAATGTGTAGAGACCCCTCCCTCATACAGGGCCAATTTCTTCTTCAAAGTTTTTCCTTAAATTTATATTTTGGTTACTATTGTGAATGTGTTTCTTTCCCATTATAAGAGTACATAGGAGAAAACATTTCTGTTCATGGTGTACTTGGCCACCTTATTAAATAAATTCTGTTCTTGATTTTCACAGATTTTTTTCAGTGATTCCTTTGGATTTTATTGACGGATGTGGACAGAGATGTCATTTGCTTCTTCTTTTTTAATATTTATATCTTTTATTTCCATTTTGTTTTATTTTATATGCTGGAATGTCTAGAATAATACTTTAAAATGGTGGGCCTGTTGAGCTGTCTTGTCTTGTTCCTCTCTTAAATGAGAATGCCTTTCATGCTTTACCACCAAATACGAAATTAGCTGTTTGTCTTGGAAAAGTATTCTTGTTCTGGTCAAGAAAATATCTTTAATTGCTAGCATACTGTATTTTATTTTCTTTGACATATTAGTATAAGGAGTCATACTGATGAGATACCCTAACATTCCTGAAGTAAACATCACGAATATAGGGTATTATTTTAATATCTGCCTGAAATCAATTTCCTAAAATTTTATTTAGGATTTACTTCCATAGTCATAGGTTTTATTGACTTGTAGCTTTTGTTCTTCTGGAGTTGAGATTTATGGCTTCATAAAATCCATATGGATTCATATGGAGTTGGATTCATAAAGTGAGTGTGGAAATTTTCCATGTTTCTTACTCTTTTGGAAATTTAAAGAACATAGGAATTATATTTATATCTTGGAAATTTTAACAAATTAACTCTTCTGTGGATATTGGTCTTTTCAAATTTTTGCCTCTTGAGTCAATTTTAGAAATTTATATTTTCCTACAAAATCATTCATATCCCTTTGTAATTATCACTATTCATATGATCTTTATAGTTGTATTATTAATTAATGCTATATTTAGATGCATTGATTAGATTTTCTTGAAGCTTGTCCATTTTATTAGTATTTTTAAAGATTTATGGTATGTTTTGAATATTTTCCTATTTATATTTAGAAATAAAAATTTCTGCTGCTACTTAGCCAATATTTACTAACCTATCCATACCATGTATTGTAACTTTAACAGTCATTCTTAAAATAGGTAGAGCGGAACTGCTCCTGCTCACTTAGCGTTCACTTGCTCACAGAGGGCTTGACTGAGCTCCGCTGGGAAACAACGTACCTGCCAGGAAGTGGTGCCCTGCAACAGACAGGTGGTTGTGGGGGCAGCTTGACTGACAGCATATCGTGATGGTCAGCAGAAGTGGACTTGGGGGCCCCTGGATACTTTACAAGTAGAAATAATTCAGTACTTCAGTGCAGCCATTTGTTTTAATATCCTCTCAACTGTAACTCTGTACAGATTCTTCTACTTCTGTACAGGAGCACAGAAATAATAGTAAATCTGAAGAGTCTTCGTAGTCGTTTCTGTCCTCTGACTAAATGCTCATGAACAGGAAACGGAAGGAAAGGGCCTGGACAACTCAGACTGTACTGTCATCTTCTGGAGATGACTGCTCAGTAGCTGTGGTCCTAAGTTGCTGCCTGGCTTGACAGGAGGCTTCTGTCTGCTTAGCTCGTGCTTCCGCGTGGTGCAGGACTGCAGTCCCCAGACAGGCACACGAGGCCAGCAGCTGGCAAACAAAGATACCAGATTCTCCAGTCCTTATTTTTCACCTTATTCTTTTTAAATGTCTTGTTTGTGTGTATATTATACTAGTTTAGTCATGTGTGTCAATAATTTATAAATAACTATACCTGTGTTGGTGATATGTACTCAAAAAATGATTTACTAAAAAGCATATACATCAAAAACTTCAGAAACTACTGGTGTAAATAATTAGAAACAGCTCTGGACCGGAAGTGGAAAATTATGAATTTGAAACCTGCTTTAGCCACTTATTAGTCATGTGCATTTGGTCAACTCTCCGTTTTATAAGCTGTAAGATGGAAATCACAATGCCTGCCCCGCCTCCCTCACAGCGTTGTGCTGAGGAAATGACACAGCCTGCGTGTGATCGTCCATAAACGTTGTAAACGCTGTGTCAATCGTGGTACTATTTTTTTCAGCTTTTAAAATCTTTTCCTCAAACATATTCAGTATACCACATTATCTTTATAAAGACCATATTTTAAATAATGGAAAGACATTTTATTTTTAGGGTCCAAGAAGAAAAATGTTCAGAATTTAACAATTTTATAATTCTGAAAGAGATTTTTTTTCAAATTTCCCAGAAATTTTTGATGGCCAGATTTTTTTTAAACAAAGTAAACCTGAGAATTAGAAAAGCAAGGAGATTAAAAATAAGTCTGAGTTTTCTGTCACGTCGGGAGGAAGGAATTAAGGAAAAAGGGATAGAGAAATAGACTTTAGAAATAAGAAACTGAAAAAGGAAAAAGTGGAGTTCTGTAACCTTAAGTGCCAGCATTTTGATGCGAACAGTTAGTTATCCTAGAAGTCTCTTTTAAGTATTGCGTTGGCCTGTACCAGTCCTTGAATGGAAATGTTGCGATTAATAGCAAATCTACAGTTTGCTTCCTCTTTTAATGCTGTTATCATATAGGTACTTAAAGGCATTTAAAGATTGCCACCACGTAGCAATAGAATTTATTTTCCTTAGAAATTCTCAGGCATTTATTTTTCCTTTTTCCATCCCACCGAGCAGTTAACTCACTTCTGACACGATCTGGGGAAACCAGCTGCAAGTCCAGTTTGTCACGTGGGCTTCCGACCGGGAGGCTATAGATCAGATTCCCACAAACCCCTGAGGGATCGACTAATTTGGTGGGTGGTTCACAGAACTGAGAAATTTAGTAGATTACCAGTTTATTGTAAAGGGGTGTAACCGAGGAACAGCCAGATGGAAGACATGCCTAGGACAAGGAATGTGGGAAGGGGCCCAGGGCTTCCTCCTCTCCCCAGGCAAGCACCCTCAGATCCCCACATGTTCACCAACCCAGAAGCTCTCTGGAAACTGAACCCCTCCTGGGGGTTTTATGGAGGCTTCATTACACGGGCATGATTAAATCACTGTCCGTTGAAAATTGAACTCAATCTCCAGCCGCTCTCCCCTTCCAGGAGGTCAGAGTGGGGCTGAAAGTTCCAACCCTCTAATCACACGGTTGGTTCCCCTGGCAACCAGCCTCCATCCTTAGGTTACCTCGGAGCTTTCCCGGAAGGCACCTCATTAACATAACAAAAGGCACCTTTACCACTCTTAACTCTTGGGAGATCCAAGGGTTTTAAGAGCTTTGTGCCAGGAACTGACAAGAAGACCAAATACATATTTCTTATTATAAGAAATATCACACTTCTTTTTCCCTCTGTCTCAATTGTAGGTTGAAGCTCCATTCATACCAAAGTTCCGAGGCTCTGGAGATACCAGCAACTTTGATGACTATGAAGAAGAAGATATCCGTGTCTCTATAACAGAAAAATGTGGAAAAGAATTTTGCGAATTTTAGGGATGAGCAACCAGATGACATCAGAGCTCACACTCAGTCTTTGCACTCTGTTGAGAGAGAAGGTGGAGCCGAGACCGTCCTTGTCGAAGCAGTTACCTAGTTCCTTCATTCCAGCGACTGAGTGAGGTCTTAATTGCCGTCATCCGTGTGTGCACTCTGCATCACCTGTGTAACAAGGCACCGCTAAGCACGCGTCGTCTGTGCCAGAGCACAGAACGAGACACTTTCCTGCTGCTCTTTGGTTTGTCTTTCTCCTCTCCTCCTACATCCATTTCTTCCTTTCTCGTTTCATTAGTTTTTCTGCAAATAGTGCTTGATTTTATTTTGTTGGTGTTTCAGATGGGCAGTGTTACGGCTCTGTGACATTGGAAGGAAGGGTGAATGTTGCTCTTAGAAGTGCTTGCCAATATTTTTGTTGGTCAGTTGCTTGAGGATATACTTTCTAATAATTGTTTTTACTTTGAGTAGCTCATACTGTTTTGCCAAAACTCTTGACAATTTTTGAAGATAGTGTCTCTTCACCAAGGAAATTTATACAAACAAAATAATAACTTTCTTAGAACTCACTAACACAGAGTAGCTAGACCCAGCAATTTGGATTCCTGCAGCTCAGAAGCTCTGTTTCCCTTTGTCACCTTTTCTGTCGTCATCCCCTTGAGGAACTAAGTGACCAGCCTGTGCAGCGTGACAGGCATGTCTCATTTGCAGGAAAAGTGAACGATAAGGCTCACTGTCACCCGGATTCCCTCACCTGGTACCAGCACTTTCGTAGGTAACAGAGAGGAGTTCTAAGATTCCTAAACCTTAACTTTCCATCAGGGTTTTAGCCAATATTTTAATAAAATGTGACTAAACGAAGTGACGCATTTTTAAGTTTCTCAAATAGTGCTCATTGTAAACTTTTTTAAAAGAAGAGAAATGAGCTAAAAAAGAACATTAATATGGACAAATACTTGGCTAAGTCAAACAAATGGCTTGATTTTTGTAAACAATACGGAGGCACTTTCATTTAAATGCAGAGGGGTTTTGTTTGTTTTGCTTTGCTTGTGTTTTGTCGCAGAGACAACAGAAGGCGCTGTTGCCGGGCGACTGCGCTGGGGCGTCCGCCGGATTTGTCAGCCTCTGCGGAGGCGCTGTCGCGGCTCCGCTTCCGCCCCGTGCCTCACCAATGGAAAAGGACGAAGTTCACAAAACTGCCACAGTTGTGTTTTAATTTTGAGGTGTGGTCTTTTTAGATATGTCAATTTCTAGCCTCTTCTTTTATTAAACAGAATTATGATCATGCAGATACAATTTTAGTATTTGAGTTTAGATTTTTATATACTTTTTGCCAACTGACTTAACATGGCTGTCATGTGGAAATTTCAAGCACTTTTGCACATTTTGTTCACTGTTGAGACTCCATGGCTTAACTCAGTTTTTAAACTATTTTTTTCCTTTGCTTTTAAATTTACTGTCTGGTTTTATCTCTGTGTGTCAGTGACCTATCATAAGATGACACACCAAAATAGTTAAAAATAAACTGTGTTCATTTTTTATGATCAATTTACATGCATATAAGATGAGCTGTATTTAATCAGACTGATCTCAATGTACATAAGCACTCTTTTTTCGCTTCATCACCGGTGCAGATAGGTCACTGACTCTACTTCTTCTCATCTGTACCACACCCTTGTAACACCTTTGAAGACACTGAAAGATCTGTCTGAGATGTTCTCTGCATCACTCTGTACATCTTTTGTTTGTCAAGTGTTTCTGCATGGTCATGTCACTTAAAAGCTGATACTGATTGACTGGTCCACCTATATTTAAAACGTGCAAGAAAAATGAAATACTTTGCTGTAGCAAGTTTTATGTAACAAAAATATATCATGTTAATAAATTTAAAACATCATTTGTATAAAATATTTTAATTAGTTTTTTTTATTTCATTTAGACCCAAGAACATGCTGATCATGTATTCTATATGTATGCTATAAATGCTATGGTACCTTTGTTGTATATTATTGTAAAATTATTGCATAATAATTTTAATAAGTCATAGGGATGACAATTTGATTATTACATTTTTAGAGTTCCAGTAATTTAAAAAGATTTCTATGAATTCTGAAAAAAAATTTTATGAAATTACTACTGCCCAGTACAATTTGCTATAGAATCTATAGAATCTAGGTAGTGACCCCTAGGCATACGCTGGTTTTGAGGGCTAGTTAGCCACGTAACTCTCCATTTAAAGGACATTAGCAAGCTTTCAAATATCTCAAGGGAGTCTATTTCTAACCACTCAAGTACACTGAATTAGAATCTTAGAATTATATAAAATTCCCAGTTTCAGCCACAGTTTAGCCAAGAATAAGATAAAAACTTGAATAAGAAATAAATGGAATGAATCAGTATTTAATCTCAAATTACATTATTTGAAACAAGAAATTACATTTTGCTCAATAAATAATAAGGAGGTGACATTGTAGAGGAAGGAGCCCTAGACTGAAAGTCAAGTTGTCTGAGTGTCAGGCCTGATCTGTCACTATCCTCATGCCCTTGGCCTCAGTTGTCTTATCTGTGAAATGGAAGAGTTCCATCAGGCAGTTTCTGAGGTCCCTTCTAACTTTGACGTGTTGTGACGAGATTCTTTTTATGTGGCGTTTTTGAAGTGCTCACGTGCTTTGGAGCCAGCCGTGGTAAGGCGGTATTTTAGGGCATCTTCCTTCTTACTCTTACAGTGTTCTTACAGTTCTTTGAATATCATGAGAACCTTGTATCTGTTCTGATTCCTTCCTCCTTCACTGATGCTAAATATCTAATTGATATCAAACTGTCAGCCTACCAAAAAAATATTGTGGCTTGTGGGCATTGCTGTCTTGTTTTGATATGTTCTTGTAGTGACTGCCCATTGGCCTGAAAATACTCTTTGTAAGCCTAAAATAATCATTTTTATTTCCCACTGTTTTTTCTGCTTGTTGAAGAATCAAATGAAATAATGTTATGTGAAAGCACCTTGTACACTGTAACCTATCAATGTAAAACGTTAAGGTGTGTTGTTATTTCATTACTTACTTCTTTGTTTAGAATGGAATTTCCTATGCACCACTGTAGCTAGGAAATGCTGAAAACAGCTGTGTTTTTTAATTAATCAATAACTGCAAAATTAAAGTATCTTCAAAGGATAAAACAATTTATTGAGTCTTGTATCCTAATATTCAGTGCACTTGCTTCCTGATTTACTTTCTGTGGATACTGCAGATGTTTATGGATTCCTGGTTTTTACGTGTTTGGGTGAGAACAGAGAGACTGGGGGTCAAACGTCCACCAGTCAATTCCAGCCTGGTGTTTACTGAGAAGCCACTGGATTCGTTCCATAGTTTTTAGTAAGTGCTTCTCCTTTTTCCTTGTGGCATTTGTCTGAATTACTGTTAAAATAATGTTGAAAATATTCATATTTACAGGAATGACACTGTAAGAGCCCTCATCCTTATAAAAATGAACTATGAATTTATACTTTTTTCTTCAGAAGTACTTTTGAGCTTCACCAGTACCTCTTCTGGGTTTAGCCAAGTTGATTAATGTGTGTTTCTAAAGTTGTCCTTTACCTCAAGAAATACATTTTTAGGTAATTATTTTAATAGCTTACCATTTTTTATTGCTGTGATTGTTACTGCGGTTATAAATATTGATGCGTTTTATAACATAATGCTTACTATTTTTATTCCAGTGATTGCTTCATTTTATCACTGTTAGGGCTTAATATAAAATCTAGTTTCCTCATTTCCTTATGTAACTAATTATAAAAATCTGGGCATATCTTCACTCCAGAACTATCATCAGTTGAAACTCATTTAATTTTTCTCTTACACACAAATACCGAATGCGAAGTTAAATACTTCCATTTTAACTTCCCTGAGCATTTTCTGTATGCCTTATCTAGTCGCCTTTGTGCCCTCTGACGAGGGCTGAATTGTGTCCTGCCAAAATTCATCTGTTGAAGTCCTGACCCTCCAGCACCTCAGAATATGACTGTATTTAAATGTAGGGCTTTAAAGAGATACTTTAGGTAAAATCAGGTCCCATGGATGGGCCCTAATCCAGTAAGACTGACGTCTTTATAAGAGCAGATTAGGACAGAGAGACACAAACCGAGAAAAGACCACGCGAGCACGTCAGAGGGAACTGGCCGTCTCCGCCAGGGGGAAAGGCCTCAAACGCAGCCAAGCCCGCTGACAGCTCGATCGCGTGCGGGTGCGCGCCTGCTGTGCAGACCCCCGTCCGCGGTGCCTCGCCTCGGCAGTCCTACCGCCGGTGCCCCCGCCGAGCCCGCTCCCGTGGCGTGCGCCGTGTTCCCACCGCCAAAGGCTTGTGGTCCTCGCCCTTCGGGTGCTGCGCACCTGGCTAGTACTGAGCTAATTTACCATAAGCCAAAAAGGGGAGGAAAAAACACATGGTCACAAACCTCATGCACCTGCTGCTTGTTTCTGTTCTTTCCTGGAACACTAGCGGGAAACAGGAAACCGTAGCTAATGAGAGTAGGGGAAGCAGGGGCGAGTGAGAGCAGCCTCACTCCTGGGCAGACTTGCCCTTGGCATCGAGCTCTTCTCGTGATAATATGACATAAAATTGAACACACCAGGCTCGTTGAGCTTAGAGTGTCTGCTCATCTCTTAATGGTGATGTTACTGAAATGGCCAAAAGGAAAGTGAGAATGGGGATGAAGGGCTGGTGAGGGAACCCCTGGTGCTTTGTTGTCTGACGACTGAGGGAGCAGTAATGCTTACAGCCAATGATTACCTTAATGTGTTAGTTCCCTATTGCTGCTGTAACAAATCACCATCAAATCAGTGGTTTAAAACATCACAAATTTATTCTGTCTTAATAGCTCTGGAAGTCTCACATCTGGCATGGGTCTCCCTGGGTTAAAATCGAGGTATCGGCAAGGCCTGCTTTCCTTCCTAGAAGCTCTAGGGGAGAACCTGTTTCCTTGCCTTTTCCAGCTTCAGAGGCTCTCATTTTCCTTGATTTGTGACCCTATTCCTCCATCTTCAAAGGCAGCAAAATTGGGCCGAGTCCTTACACTGCGTCCCTCTGATGTGCTCTTCTGCCTCCCTCTTTCCTTTTTGAAGGCCCTTAGGATTATGGTGAGCCCACCTGGCTAATGCAGGCTGCTCTCCCACGTTCAAGATCGGCGGATGAGCAACCGTAGTTCCTTTGCCGTATAACCGAAGCCACTTACAGGTTCTGGGGATTTAGGAGTGGCAGCTTTGGGGTGAGGGGTGTGGGGAGACATCATTTGGCCTACCACATTTAATGTCATCTTAGGTAGAAAATACGATTATCTGAAATATGGGAGTAGAGACTACCCTGTCACAATTCAAAAAGGACAAAGGCTTAAACATTATCCTGAAGCACAGCGCTTAGCATGCAATGAATATTCAAGTACATTGTCACAAAACCTGAGTAGCAGCGTCAGTTTTGCCTACCTTCAAAGATACTCAGCATCACTATTCATCAGCAAATTGAACATTAAAACCGCAGTAGACACCGTTACCCACCAATAGAATGACTAAAATTAAAGTGTTGGTGAGGAGGCAGAAAACTGGAATTGTCATGCGTCGCTAGTGGGGACAGAAAATGGCACAACCACTGTGGGTGAGAGTTTGCAGTTTACTACAAACTTAAGCACTTTCTTACCACATGACTAGCCTTTCTGCCTCTAGGTGTTTACCCAAGATAACGCAAACGTATGTCCACACAAAGACATGAGCGTTCATAGCAAGTTTGTAACAGTCCCAAACAAACGCATCAACAGATAGTGCTGTGTCCATGCATCGAAAGACTTCTCACCAATAAAAAGGGACAAGCTGCTGATACAAGCAACAACACGAATGCATCTAAGAAGCAGTTTGGTTGTATGCATTTCTCAAAATTCATTGAACTATATACTTAAAGATGAGTATACTGCACCTTAGTAAAGATGATTTTAAGAATTAAGAAAAGAAAATAAATTTTAGAATAGATTTGATTAAACAGAAGGTTAGTGATCTGGAAAATATGGCCTTTGAAATCCCTCAGAATTAATATTAAAAAATAAAAAAAATATGAGAGGAAAGTTAAAACATGGAATGTTAGCTTCAAGAGAGATGATAATTGTCTGAAAGTTCTAAAAGGAAGAGACAGAAAAATGGGAAAGTAATGTTTTCAAAGTTCTGAGTGATGGTTTTACCTAGGATTATATACCGAGGTGAACCATGGCTTCATTGTAAAGGTAGGTGGGACACTAGTTCCCAGTCGGCCCTCTGGCACCAAGATAGGTCTGGCCAGGGGGAAGTGATGGTAAAGGACTGGAGGATGGCAAAAAGGTATAATCAGAGTGTTTCTCTGCCTGTCTCTCCCGTGATCTGTCCCACTTCCTGAGTCTTCATTGTTCCAACTCCTGGTCCCCGTCACGGTTCCATGTCCCACTGTAGCCCTGGTTCCCGAGCTTCATGAGCCCTGCCTCCCATTTCCTTCCAGTCCAGAGCTGACAGAGCTCCCTGCTCTTGCTCATCTTTGGGTAACTTCACCATCCTAATATGTGTCTTTATTTTTGGTGGTTTTTAAATAAACTTTTTAGTAATAACATGACTGGTATCTTTTGTTCATTTTTGTTATATGAAGTACAAGCTGTTTGACTCTATTCTCTCATCACCTATGTAACCAATTCTTTCTATTAAATCTACTCTGTTGAAACACCTAGAATGGATGCTGTTTTCCTGATGGACCCTGATTGATGTTCTCATTATCAGCACTTCTTTTATACATTGTACTGAAGGATCCCAGCCATCACATAAGAGAAGAAAGAGCGCAGTGGGTCCTAGTCATCACTGTAAGAAAAGAAACAACAATGGCAAAATAGAGATCATCCCAAATAAAATAAAATGTGAAAATTTTCTACCAAACAGATGCTCTCTAAGGAAGAAACTTCAAAAAAAAAATGTATTTCAAGAAGGAAAGCAGTCCCAGAAAAAAACAAATAGCTTCTCGGAAGTTTAAAGGAAAGAGAAAAAAAAAAAAGGAAAAAGTAAACATCATTAGGAATAAGAAATGAGACCCAGAGCTTTTAAAAATTAGAAGAGAATTTTCATCAGGCTGGAACTTAAAAGACACACAAAACCTCCATGTCTCCTCCCAGCCTCTCTCCTCAAACACATAGAAATGACAGAGTATGTTTTCATCTATCTTTAAGGACATAGATTGCACTCAAAACACATCCCCACAGACTAGAAAGGATGAAAATACACAGTGGCAAGTGGGGGTTGAAGCCACAGACTTATTAACTTACGGAAAAGATTTTTATTATAGTGAGATAATTATAGTAAATACAAAGGAAAAATATAAAGATATTAAAGAAAATTCAGAGATGGTAATGGATATTGAGAACAAAGATAATCCACTATTGGCATCCCTGAATTAAACTACAGATGAAATAGAAAAAGTATTCAAATGTAACATACAGAATCTTTTCACCAAAATGAAGGAAAAAAAATTTTTATGTTGAAAGAACACGCTATTTTTCAGGGAAAATTGACACAGAGCTTTCAACACTAACCCATATTCTAGTGAAGATTTTGAACATTAGCAATGAAAAATTTATTTTATCTTACTTTCTTACATTGAAGGATTGTCAGTTACAAGTGTTAATTTCTGGTGTACAGCATGGTGTCCCTGTCACGTATATATATACATATATTTGTTTTCATATTTTTTCATTAAAGGTTATTACAAGATATCGAATACTGTTCAAAAGACACTTTTAATCTATTTTTATATATGGTGGTTAATATTTGCAAATCTCAAACTCCCAGGTTTATCCCTTCCCACCCCCTTTCCCCAGTTACCATAAGATTGTTTGCTATAACAATGAAAATTTTATGCATAAAAGTCAAGTCAGCTCCGAGGTAGGGGCAGAATCAGGTTGGCCTCCACAGTATTAACTCGGTGCCAAACAAGCAATGGAATAAAATTGTACGGGAAAACCAGTGTGAGCCAAGAGTAGTACACCAGCCCAGCTGCATTTCATTTAAAGGCACAAGACAGGTCTCTTTGAATAATCAAAAGAAAGATGGAAAACCTCTGGCCCCTTCACATCCAACTGGACCTATGGAGATAAAGAAGTCAGTAATGAAGAAGCAGTGATACAAA